TTTAGTTGGAAACCTGAGAATAAGCCAGAGTAGATCAAGAGTAAAAGAAATTACATTTATTGGACACAGTTAAGTGTATCAGCTGGGCTCTAACAGACTAAAAACCTCTCTCTGGGTCTCAGTGGGCAAAGAGCTGGGTGTGATGGGCATTATCTCACAACCAAGTCCTATTGGCCAGTTACCTCTGGGCATGAACAGGCCAGGTCCTAATTCATGCAGATGACAGGAATGTGGTAACAAATGGTGTGTGTGTGTTTGTGTTGACCTAAAGGTAGATCTAATGCAACAGAGAAAGAAAAAGAGGGAAAGAGAGTCTGTTGACACAGCCAGAGACAGAGTTCTATAAGGAAATAAAACAATCAGTAATCTACATAGATCATGTGATAGCATACAATGCTAAAGTGAGTAATTATAGCCAAATTTTAACCCTTTAAAGCCTGATCCAAGAATAAAACAAAACAGAAAATTACTTTTTTTTGGTTTGATTCCTTATTTGGCCTTTTAACAAAATATGTAAAAAGAAAAAACAGAAATACATTTTTAATATTAATAATTTATTACTATGCGATAAGTCAAGATTATTTTTTGTAGTCTTCTGCCCCCTGTTATCAGGTGTATCTGATTGTGTACAATAGGAATTTGAACAAAGTTTTTACCATTAAATTATGCAAAAGGTGTCAGATGCCAAACATTTCAGAAACCGTATGAATCAAATATGATACGTTTGGCATTATAGGGCTGACAGATGTTTTGATCTCACCCCCACCCCCCCACAGCCAGTAAGAAGACAGGAGAGCCCCTCATCATTTCGGACATAAAGAAGGGCAGCATGGCTCACAGGTATTTGGCTGCTTTAGTCGAACTCTCTCAGTGAACTTACATTTTTTTAGGCCTCATCTTCTCCTCCGGCTGATTTTCCCCCTGTCGCCCTCTCCAGAACAGGAACTCTGGAGCCGGGGGACAAGCTCCTGGCCATCGACAACATCCGCCTGGAGAACTGCTCCAGGGACGACGCCGAGCAGATCCTGCAGCAGTGCGAGGAGCTGGTCAAACTCAAGATACGCAAAGACGAAGACAACTCAGGTATGTCGGGAACGGGACGAGAACGATCATTTAAAATATCTTCCGAAGGGATTCCCATGACTCCTGTTTCCCACAAATCCATCGAATGCAGAAACGTAAATGGATCCGACGGCCCTCACTTCCATCATTTAACCAGAAACCTGATAGAAGGATTATATATTTATTTTATATTTTATATCTATATTTTTATATTTATTTTATATTTATTTATATTTTTACATTTTTGTTAAGTAAATGAAGTCTTCAGAGTAAAAAAAAAAGTTTTTTTAATTATGTCATTTCGTTTATACAGAAATCTAAATGCTTAACCTTTGAAAGGGAACCCAGATTAAAAGAATGATGAAATGATGCAGCAGAACAACAAGTATTTACATTTAATGATGCTTTATTCATCATTTTGAATAATAATCAAATCAATTTTATTCATGTACGGCCAAATCAGAAACAACAGTTCTCTCACAGCTTTCCAAACAGAGCAGGTCAGACCAGACTATGACGTTATTTAGAGAAGCCCAGTAATTCCCACCAAAAGCAGCACTAGGCAACACAGGGAAGGAAAAACTTCCTTTTAAGAGGAAGAAACCTTGAACAAAATCATGGCTCAGGGTGGGCGTCCTCAACCGGTTAGGGACGAGAGAGAGAGGGTATAAACTGGGTCCTTTTTTATCTCCTAGTCTGTCTTTCTTTGTATTGACGCAGGTGTTTTGGCGTCATAAACTTTTTTAATTGTCTCCACAGTGAAACCGACTCAGCTCTTGGCTCCTCTGAATCTGAGGAGTCCGGTAACACGATGGTCATGGAGGACCGAGCACTGAGTGTTGAGTAGTCGGTGTCCTGTTGCAGCTCTGTGGAGTCCAGAGAGTCTGAAATCCTTTCACCTTCTGCCTCTTTTCTGTCTTCCACCTCCATAGCTTCCTCTGGTGTCCGGAGTTCCTCTGCTTCTTTTGGTGGTTCTTCAACTTTCGGCTCATCCAGTTTCTGTTCTTTTTCATCCTTTTTAAGGATATCCATTCCTTCAGATGTTGGATCTGGTTTACTTTCTTTTACCAGTTCAGGAACCTCCTGTTTTACCTCCTTCATGGACTCTGAAGCCTCTTCTTCTTTGGTGTCTCGAGTCTCTTTAGATTGCTGGAGGTCAGCTTGCGTTAAACGTTTCATCTTTCTGTTTTTACGCCTCTGCTTTTTGGACATGGGTTTCTGATCCTGGGTACCCTCTGTTAGTTCAGAAGAAGGTTCCTGGTCCTTAATGGAAGCCCTATCTGCTTGGGGCTCCTCAGTCTGTTCAGTCAAATCCTCTATGATGATATCCATTCCTTCAGATGTTGGTACTGGTTTGCTTTCCTCCATTACTTCAGGAGCCACCTCGTTTTTCTCCTCTATGGACTCTAAAGCCTCCTCTTCTGTGGTGTCTCGATTCTTGCCGTCCTCTTCAGATTTCTGGAGGTCTTTGACTTGCTCAACTTGCATCAACCGCTTCATCTTTCTGTTCTTACGCTGCTGCTTTTTGGACACAGGTTTTGGTTGTTGTTCTGTAAGTTCAGGTGCAGGTTCCTGGCCTTTGACAAAGACCATGTCCTCAGATTGTTCAGTCAAATCTAATTGAATAATTTCCACTTCCACAGATGTTGGTTCTGGTTTGCTTTCCTCCTTTACTTCAGGATCCAACTCTTTTTCTTGCACTAAAAACTCAGAAGCCTCATCTTCTTTGGTGTCTTCAATCTTGCCCTCCTCTTCAGATTGACAGTCTTCAATAACCTTTCTTGCCTTTTCATTTTTCTTTGGTGTTACTTTCTCTGGAGCTTCAGAAAGTATCGGTTTGATATCTGGGATGATGTCTCTGTTGTTCTTGTCAGCTAGTTCTTTGCTCTCTTCTTCAAAGGTATCCACATCATGGAGGCCGTTTTTCTGCTCCGGTGTGTTCTTTTCTCTGTCTGTTGGTTGGCTGATGATAGAGTCATACAAAACTTGTAACAGCTCTGCTTCCTTCTGTTTTAAATTCTTAATGATCCCCTCCTGGGATGTCAAATTAAAAGACAGCTCCGCATTGGAGGCGGTCTTTTCCTTTAGTTCTTTGTTTAATTTCTTTATCTCTTCTTCTAGCAGTTTGGAAGACAGACTCAGTTCTTTGAAGTTTGCTTCAGACCTGCTGAGCTCCTCCTCAGAGTTTTTTCTGAGCTGACACTCTTTCTTTAAACTGTCTTTAAGCTGCTTCATTTCCAGCTCGTAGCTGAAGCAGTCCTCCTCTGCCGCTAGCCTTCTTTCCTTTTCCTGTGACAGAAAATAATTCTTTCTCTGCAGTTTGCACATCAGGATATCCAACTGATGTTCCAGATAGTTGATTCTTTTGTAGGCAGGGTGGGGTCTTGACCAAGGTGTCTGGTGGTTTCCACCCCGTGCATCATGCTTGGGCGGGTTGTTCTCTGTTTGGGAGGGCAGGGGAGCCTCTGTGTCCATGTGCTCCTTGTCTAGATTTGGAGTTTCCCCTGACTGAGTGCTAGAATCAGTGGAGATCTGGGATTTTTCCTTTTCCCCAATGTCACCCTCTGCTTCTGGT